TTTTTTTTCAAAGTTTATTAATTTTGAGATATATGATTGGTTTGGGTGGAGCAAAGCACTACAAATAAAGGAGTCATAAAGGTTAAAAAGTCGACTTAATAGTCATGAAGGTAAAACAATCTACCTTAATCCATTTTAACCTCCTTTAAAACTTCATCAACGATATGACCTTGAGCCCATTTTGGTATATTAGTCTATTAGAGTACCCATAGTGTAACTATAATCCATGTGTGTGTTCTTTTTCAGTGTCTGTATGTGAAGGAAGCAAATGAAAGCGGAAGAATATTTTACTTAAACAAGTGTTTTCTAATTTGGTTTTTATTATATCTTCACTTATAAGTTACTACATACTAATTTTGATTTTATTATCTCCCTTTCGGTTCAAGAGATCAAAAGAGTATGGTTTAAAGAAAGGAAAATCAGATTTCACATTGTGTTGGAGAAAGTACAAGATGAGGTTAGAGTTTATATAAAGTTTAGAGGGTCTGGATGTTAAGAATGGAGTTTTATTTGAAGACATTTTCCAAGATCCAAATTTCAAAGTTCTGAGGGGTAAAGATGAAGAATCTTAATTTACTATTGTTGACTTTTCTCTTATTAATCCAAATAATTTTGTGATTTGTTGAAAAATGGATCGTAAATCCTTTCATATTGCATTTACCCATGTCCGTTTATTTATGGTGTTTTACTATAGGTTTGAGAAGGTTGTTGTGAGTCCCAATACAAAGTTGAGAGGGATTATAAAGTATAAGGAATGACATATCTTACATATTCCCGAATAGGGAGTTGTTTATCAATCCAAGGGAAAGATAAGTCAAGTTGTTTTTCAGATCAGTGAGAAATAAGGGTTTCCATATTTCACACTTCAAAATATACTTGTCATACTTACAAATTGTGTCGAGAATTCATAGTATGATTGAAAGGATGTGACAGATCATTTGTCATGGTAGTTGGTTCTAAGAAGATCATTGGTCGGTGTGGCTTCATTGTTGTTTGATTGTTGATTTAAGATCTTTTAGGACTTATCACAAGGGGATGTTAGGTACAAAATTGTTGTGATATCCAAAGTTATATTTTTGTGTTTTGAATCTAAAGTTATTCATAGAGCATGTTATGCTCCTTTGAATTTTCTTAGAACATAGACTTATTTTAGTGCTCCTAACATGTATGTTAGTGTGAACAGGTAGTTGTACGCATCATGTGTGAATAGTATGCATGTTTATATATGGGTTGGATAAATGTGCCAGTAGTTGAAATCTCTCTTCTGATTAGGGATGAAAGTGGGTCCAAACCCAGACCGGATGGACCCGGACTCGGAAAACCCGGAACCGATTAACGAGATTTTATAGAACCGGAAACCGGACCGGTATATAGGAACCGGTTCCGGTTCGGTTCCGGGTACGGTACCGGGTAAAGTGGGTCTACAACCGGAAAACCCGGAAACATCAAAGTGGGTAGGATGGAATCGGATAAAGTGGTTTTAGAACCGGAAAACCCGGAAAAACATGATTTTTTTTGGTAATTACTTACTATTTAGTGGGTTGAACTTTGAAAATTTTCATATTGATATCCCGACTTTGGAGGACTGTAACTCATTGAATTATGAAACCAAAATTGACAAAATTATAGTCTAAAATCATGTACAAACTCTAAACTACACTCTGAAAAAACCGCATGTCAATCCGACTTTAAACGAATGAGATATGCATGTGTTAACATTTTCACAGAATACAAAGTAGAAAAACAAATAGCTGAAAATTTGTAAATTTTCAGTTTTGATATCCCGACTTCGGGAGATTGTAAATCATTGAATATTAAACCAAAAATGAAAAAATTATAGTCAAAACTCATGTATAAACTGTAAACTACAAGTTGGAAAAAACCACATGTCAATCCGACTTCAAACGAATTAGATATGCATGTTTTAAAACTTTCACAGAATACAAAAGAACTGAAAAACTAAAAACTTTCAGCTTTGATATCTCGACTTTGGGGGACTGTAAGTCAATGAATATAAAACTAAAAATGGAAAATTTATAGTCTAAAATCATGTACAAACTCTAAACTACACGTTGGAAAAAATCGTTGTCAATCGGAGTTTAAACGAATGAGATATACATCTTTTAAACGTTTCACAAAAACCGGTTCCGGCCCTAAAAGTGGTTCCGGTTCCTAACATCGGTTCTGGTTTTTAGACCCGCTTTACCCGGACCCGATGGACCCAAACCCGAATTACCCCGAACCCGGATAAAGCAAATTTTTAAACCCATAACCGGAACCGGTTCCGGTTCCGGTACGGTTTTCCGGTTCTAAATCTCATCCCTACTTCTGATTCATAATCAAGGTGTAACATGTATCATCCTATGTTCCAATCATGGAATAGAATAAATAAATCAAAAAAATAGATTATTGGTTCAAAAATGAAATCTTGTAGGAATTGTCCATATCATGTTCATCCTTCAGAACCATATCACATCCTCAATATAATGAAATGGGATGAATTTGAGACGATGTTTTGTAAATATGTAATTATCTTGAATAGATTAACCATTTCTTTATTTTTCGATCGCCTGCGAAAAAATATCTTTTTGTTTAACTTTTTAGTTATATATAGGTGTGTGTTATTGTAATAGAAAAAGGTTCTTAAATGTGTTGTATTCACCATGAATAATTGAGCCATTCCATTGTATCATGTTTCATTTGATCAATAGAGTTAAAAATATTATTTACTCTGCTGTCTTACACTTCATTTGGCATTTCAATTTGTTGTTACATTTTTGTTCTATTATTTTTTATAATTAAAATGATAATTTAAAATAGAAAAGACAAATATAAATAATAAAAAATAAGGGGTATAGTAGTAATTTCTGATCAATTTTGAAACAAAATGAAACAACATAGATTAACCATGCAAGAAATGATACCACATGGACCGAACACGTAAAGACTATCATAGTTATCCTCACCATGTAGACATGACAATGGAGCGGGTTTGGAGCGAAACGATCTTAATTTAAACCCTTTTAACAAATTTCAAAATCCGATCCAAATCCGCTTCATAACCCGTGGAGTTTTGAATAGTCAAACTCATACATTTATCCACTGAATCAACAGATATTCAAACTCACCCGTAACTTGTAGGTTTTTTGAATAATCAAATACATTTTACTTAATTCTTAAAATAACATTTCTTAAATAAAAAATGTCTACTATAGTTTAATACTTAAAATAACATTTATTAAATAAAACAAATGTTGATTTAAAAAAGACATTAAGTACTCGAGGACTTTCGATTGGAATTAAAAGTCACTATTGCAACAATTTCCAATTGTTTTATGACTGTTGATTGTCGATTGTTATGATAGTAATTGCAAACTTTCTTCCGGTTAATAAATTGTTTTATTGATTTACAAATAGAATTAACGATTGCTTGATGAAATATAAATTGAATGATATCATAATTTTTTGGTAAAAGGCTGAAAGTATAGAAGTCAATTCCTCGAGTCTTAGGTAAAAACAATTTGGCCTTTGACCTTTGACCTTTGGGCTTTCGAATTTCAATTTGAATTAAAATTAAACGTTGAGCAGTATAAAATATAAATGTATTATTCTAAAATTTATACGGGGCGGGTTATAAATGAAACGGATCGATGATGATCCATGCCCGACCATTTTAATAATAGGGTTAGCGGGTATGGGTTGTTAACGGATAAACAAATCAAAAACTACGCTCCAAACAAATACTCCCTCCGTCCCAATATTATTGTCCACAGACAAAAAACACACATATTAAGAAAATCATTAATTACCACTAACTTTATTTAATAAAATGACAGTTTTGTCCTTACTTTGCATTTAATGTTCTATTAAATGCTTAGTTGGTTAAGTAATAATGAGGGGGTATTTTGGTAAAAATGTTATTTATTTTTAGAAGTTGACTATTATTTTGGGACAAACCAAAAAGGAAAGATGAACTATAATTTTGAGACGGAGTGAGTATAATTTGTACGGGTTTGGATCAGATCAGGGACAAAACCCACTCCATTATCTATATTGAAACCTATTTTGAAAAACTATATGGACCAATCACATAATTTTATCTAATACAAATAATAATAAAAAATAAAACCAATAAAAAAAACAATCATAAAAATGCAATTAACAATTAAAAAAAATAGATACCCACCCTTTAAAAATCCGTGGTTTTCGTGCACCTCTATTTAATACTGAATTAATGATGCTATAAACATGTTGGAAGGTCTATGGCAAATGTCAGCGTGCGTGTTCTCTTGTTTTAGAATTCTTTTATCGAGTATGGACAAACGTTAGGTAGTTATAAATATAGGGTGCTGCTAGTAAGACACCCTTTAGACACCCTATAAACATCTTTATCAAAAGTCAACCAATAGTTAACTATTTTTAATCATCTTTTTCAAAAAACAATGTAATTTTTACAATAAAAAACCTTAAAAATTATATAGAGTGTCTAAATGGTAAAATGAGATGTCCATTTAGACAACCCCTAAATATAATCACAATCACAGACTAAGTTGTGGCCCTAAGCCCAAAAAATATTGATGGGCTTTCGTGTTTTTGCAGAAAAATCTTGTCTGACCAAAGTAGGAATTTGATATTTTAATACAAATTCCTTCACCAATTTGAAGGTGTCAAACCCTAACAATCAAAGTCATAAAATAAAAACAGTCAATATAAATAATAAAATAAATTACCAAGTTGAACAAATCACTTTTGTTCACTGATCACTGATAACATGTGGTGAGGTTCTTGATTCATATTGCTTATGTTAGCAGTGATCGACGATGTTGACATATAGACAATTTCATTTAGGGGCTGCAAAGCCTAACATGTCAAATGAGAGGACTGATATTGCCAATTAATCAATAGTCTACGGACCATATCATGTAATAATGTAATTTGGTTGGTCTTCGTGTTTTCCATATGGAGGGGTCAAGAGTCAAAACTGACGGCAATTCGTTAAGAACCTACCTCAGTCAACACTATTAATTCCAAACTTCCTCTTCGTTTTCCTTTGCGATCTAATTGATCGTTGGCTTCATTTTCATCCTTCAATGGCTGCAAAGAAGGTTTTACTCACCATCAACGGTGATGCGGTTTCACGAAACATCGCTTATCATTTAGCAAAACGCGGATGCAGGTATGTTTGCGCCTAAAATTTCGATATGTTTGCTGGATTTCACCTCTGAAATCTGAATTGAACTAATTCAAATGTATTTATTTCTTTGTTTAGGTTGGTGTTAGTGGGAGACGAGAAGGTCCTCAAGGGCGTTGCGGATTGGATCACCAACGATCTGAAGGAAGTTGCTATTGAAATCGTTGGATTAGATATGGAATCGGAGAGAGAGTCGGTATTTGATGAAGCCGTGGAGAAAACCTGGAGTATTTTGGGGAAAGTGGATGCTCTAGTAAATTGCTATACTTATGAAGGTAAATCAACTGCCAAATTTCCATATCTCGTTTCAGCGCTCTGTGAGCAAATTGATTCATGGCATGATGATTACAATTGAGATTATTAAATCACTCGGTTTCTGGTAAAAACAGGAAAGATGCAAGATCCACTTCAATTGTCTGAAGCTGAGTTCAAAAAGACTGTTAGAATAAACTTCATGGCCCCTTGGTATCTGATGAAAGCTGTTGCGAAAAGAATGAGGGATAACAAATCAGGAGGATCGATCGTATTCATGACCTCGATAATTGGTGGTGAGAGAGGAATATATCCAGGTGCAGCTGCATATGGTGCTTGTTTGGGTGGAATTCATCAGTTAGTCAGAGTAAGTAACTTTGATCTTTGTTTCCCTTTCAATCCGTTTTATAAATGATATAAAGAAGTAAAATTCTGTGCTAAAATCCTAATAGCAACTTTGATTGGTTTCTGTGTGATCAGACATCAGCTATGGAGGTCGGGAAGCATCAGATTAGGGTTAATGCAATTGCTCGTGGATTGCATTTAGATGATGAGTTTCCAGTATCAGTGGGAAAAGACAGGGCAGAAAAACTGGTGAAGGATGCAAACCCATTGAACAGGTGGCTAGACCCGAAGAATGACCTGGCATCAACCGTGATCTACCTGGTAAGTGATGACTCACGCTACATGACTGGGACAACGATATACGTTGATGGTGCACAGTCAGTTGTAAGGCCACGTATGCGTGCTTACATGTGAGATTTGTGACATTCTTG